AAGAATTAGTTAAATTCTGGATGCAGTCACGTGCTACATAGAATAAATCTCGGCTCATCTAGAATGTTTGTGTCTTGTACATAGAGGGTATATTCAGCGTCAGACTCTGTTGATCAACTCAATTTGCAAGTAAATACCAGAAACTAATAGGTCACAAAAGAGGTTCAGGTGCATAAGGCCCTTCATCTTATTTGATGTCATCCTTCCAGAACTTCTGTCTTCCCACCACAACATCAAGCTGTTTCTTAAATGAGTCCACCATCCTACCCTTGATTCCAAGTTTGCTCGCCCGTGATATAGCACATCAACAAATTGTATAACTAAGTACTGCTGTGCCACTCATCTTTTATCTTGTCCTAGTGCTTCACACCATGATAATGGTAATGACAGGCCTCGAAATAACTTGTGTTGAGATGGGCAGAGTGCTGTGCAGTGTAAGAGATAACTTCTGAACCATTTTGCAAACACCTAGCAACCACTGCTGCTCATTCTCCAATTGAAATTCTACCCGTATTTGCAAACTCTAGTCTGGGTCACGTCCTTCTCTTTTGAAAAGATGCTACAATGCTATCACATTCTTGCCAACTTTATTTTTCCTGCAAAAGACGTTTTATATACCAGAGAGGTTTAAATACAAACGGCAGCTAATCAGAGCGGGTCACCCTTCTTTCATGCCCTGTACCAGTGACAGATAAACAGTGAACCTATCAAAGTATGTCAGAGCCAGGCATGGAGGCGGTGGGCAGTTGTCACAGCTGACGTGACAGGCCAGCCTATTTGAACTGTATCCTTTGGAAGCTCTCAAAAGACTTTGTAGCTTGGAAGATATGACGTCTTTTGGTTTGTCTTAAAGGGTGCAGTTATGAGGGGGAGATTTTCATAGGATCTCCCTGTGCAGTGTAGTGCTCTGGGATGCTACCCCACGTGAAGGGCGCTATATAAATCCAAGTTGTTGTTGTTGTTGGATTCCACATTTCCACCTTGGGGTGAACACCACCCTCCCCCAGCCAGTGATAATTATTAGCTGCTTTTGACCAATGTTTTTGGTCAATGTGATATGTGAGGGCATGAGTGTTTGTGTGTTAGATGGTGTGATGGATATGTGTGTGAGAGTATATGTATCTGTGGCTGTATTAGTGTTGAGTATGTGTGTGATGTTTGTGTGTGTATATATGCAGTATGTGTATTCCCTGCTCGCCGGACTTCCCAACTCTTCCCTTCACAAGATGCAAATTATTCAGAACTCTGCAGCTTGCGTCCTCTCCTGCAACAAGCCCTGCGAGCCTATCATCCCATCAGGCTCCACTGACTCCCCAGAGGAACAAGGTGGTCCCTCTGTGGTCTTCAACCGCCCTGCCTCTCCAACGTGTTAAACCTTACCAAGCCACCCGCCCCCTCCTCTCTGCAACACTGGTCTACTTCAAGTCCCGCACCCTGCCTACCCCACCATTGGTGGTTGGGCTTTCAACCTTTCTGTCACCACCATCTGGAGCTCCATCCTGGAATCCCTTCGTCTTGCACCCTGCATCCCCCCCTGCCCGCTTCAAGGTTCATCTCAAGACCTTCCAAACCCCAGCTTAGGTGCAAACCTTTCGACTGTCCAGAATCTTGACAAGTCCTCTCGACGCTATATAAATGCAATTTGTTATAGTTGTGGATTTGAGTGTGTGTGATAAATATTGGGTGTAGTGTTTGTGTATGTGGGGTGTAGAATATGTGTTTGGTGTAGTGTGTGTACGTGCTGTGTGTAGTATGTATGTGAGTGTTGGGTGGTGTGGTGCATGTATGTTTATGTATTGAATGTGTAGTGCGTGCACATGTATGTTTATGTGTATGAGTGTTAGATGTAGTGTGTATGTATGTGCAGGGTGTGATATGTATGTGTAAGTTTGGATTTATGTGAACGAGTGTTGGATGTAGTGCTTGTGTTGGGTGTCATATGTGTTTGTGATTCTGTGTATGTATTGGGTGTCGTCTGTGCTTTTGTGTGTGCATGTGGCAGTGTGTGTCCATTTTGGAGGATATTCTCAGTCCTGGTGCTATAAGTATACAAATACTCCTCTACACAATTCATTTTAATTGAGGAATAACATGATTTCTGCACAATAACTTATGGTGTTTGATTCCTGGCCTCTTCAGAGAATGAGGTTTGAATTGTTCAGTGGGGTTAAAATATAATTTTTGATGTGATAAAAATTAGTAGTGTTAATTAGCACATTATATACCATTCCCCCCCTTCCTCTCCCCCTTTTCCCCGTGCTTTAGGATTCTATTTCCTAGCGTACATATAATAATGCACTAAGCTGTTACAGCACAGAGTCTGGGTACCATTCGTCACTGTCAATTTAAAATTTCCATTCATTTCAATTGGAAAGGTGGCTGCTGAGTTTACAAAACTGAGAGCAGTTGTTTGGAAAAGGGTTCATGATCCAAGTCGCTCAAGACATTTTCTCACCCACAATTGAAACATTTCTCAGAATACCAATTCCCTGACCTTGGTATGTCGTGTACCTGTTGGCAGGAATATGAACCTACCACAATACCTTTTTATTTATAAAAAAGAAATCACACACACATACTACACCCAACAAATACATTGACATCCAACACCCGTTCACATAAACCCAAGCTTGCACATAGCGCACCCAACACGTATATACACACTACATTTAAACTTAGGCAATGATAGATAATAATAATGATAATAATAATCCTTGCATTTGATATAGCACCTTATTATGCCTTTGAGATGTCTCAAAGTGCTTGACAGAATATACTGTAAAGCATATTGTATATTTGCGGACTGTATATTTTGTGAGCAAACAGGCAGCCAATTGTGTACAGCAGTGTCCCACAAACAGTCGTGGATTGAGTGACCATTTTTTAACGGATTATTACCCCTGGAAAAGAGATCCGTCAATCAACTAATAGATAGTGGGTTATTTGATAGCGGAGGAAATTTGCCAAAGATTCACAAAGGGAATCATTTCCTGTGAATCCTGCAGGTACCCGCCCAGAATGTATCTGGCTGAAACTCCACTTGCTCTCTGAATCTCCTGTTTGGAGCAGGGAGCCTCCTTAGGCTATAATCTAAGTTTATTTGAGTCAAAAGATAAAACCAATATTCAGTGCGTTGGCCCCCATCAGTCTTTCAATAAGGAATCCACAAATTAAACTCCAGTAAGAATATGGAACAAGAAAGGAGCTTTCGGGTTATCAAGCCTATCTCATAATCTGCAATTCTGTTCCAAGGCAGTTCATTTTGAAGGAATTAATCCACACATCATTAATTACTTTTGTTGGGAGCTCCACGTATCACCACTCTTTGAGGGAAAATCTTCGAAAATCCTTGAGGCTTGTTAATTTTAAACCAATATTCTCCTGTTCTGCTCTCAAAGTCTGGGACAGATAGTCAGTTTAGCATCCATATCTGTGCCTTCCAGCATTTTCAACAGATTATTTTCCTCCTCAATTTTCCTTTCTCCAAAAAAAGATCAGGTTTGAAATAAGTCCCACTTTATAAATTAAAGCAGTAAATCCCTGACTCGTACTTGTTCCTCCTCTATTAAATGTCTTTGAATTAATATTTCCTTGAAGGTAGGACATCTGTGCACAGCAATCCAAATGCAGCTTCAATTGTGATCTATATACGGTTAGATTATTTTTTGGTCATGCATAAAATTCAGCTCCATACAGTAATTGATTAACTTGTTGACAGCAACTTATTATGAGCTGGAATCCTTCAAAGATCAATAATCAAACCCTAATAATTATTTTCTCCACCTTTGCTAATGGATGCTCCTTCTTTGGGTCTTGAGAAAACATGACCCAGATGTTTTTGTGGGTGATTGCTTCTGTATAAGCACAGTGAGACTACAAGTACTCTTTATTTTCATCCGCCCACAAAATACGCAGTCAATTTGCTTTACAATATATTCTGTGAAGCGCTTTGAGATGTCAAATGCAAGAATTATTATTATTATTTAGGTAAAAAATTGTGAAAGGTAATTTCAGGACAGATACCAGAAAGTTTTTCTTTACTCCGAGGATAATCAATGACTGGACGAGGCTGCCAGGATAGGTGGTTGAGGCCAGGTCAATGGTCATTTGATAAACAGGTTAATGCTGTGATTGGTGGACAACAGGGTAGATGTTCTAGAATAATAAGATTGGATGTGCTGAAGGGCCTTCTTCATCCAAACCAATCTTGTGACCTTGTGACATGTTCTTTTGTTCTGTTTAATCAGTCCAGAGCTTCCTGTTTACCAATTATCTTCTTTCTCCTGTGTTATCAGCTGCCCATATTGTGGCTGTATCATCAATACATTTGCTCTTAGCTTTCTTATTGCTTAGCAGAATGAGTAGTATAAAGAACAGGGAGCTCAGAGCAAACGTGTGTTGAACTCTACTACTACTCTACTACTATCTGACTGTGAGGGGCATCACACTCAAGCTTAATCTTGGCATCACACACATACACTTCCCAGCGATTGTCACTGAACTACAATGAGGAGCAACAATAGGGTTATTCTTGCGTTCCCCCACCTTTTCTAGATAACGGGGATTGAGATCATTTGTAGCACCCCAACTGCTCCTCACAATTCTCCTCAATGGGAATTAAACCTGGCACTTTCAGAGTCTGTGTGGATCATTGCTGTGCGCTGCGAGAATTTACCTCTGATTCACCGGAAAACACTTTTGTGTTTTAAACTTAGCCAATTTTATAGTTTAGCAAACTTTTAGAGTTTTAGAGTTCAAAATTATTTGCAGACTTAACGTATAATAATAGCACCTATTAGTGTTGAAATATCTGAAAGCGCTTCACAGGTAATTGCTGTAAAGTGACGTGACTGTGTATTTGTAGACAAATTTTGCAGTGAACTTGTTCACAATAAAAATATCCCACAACCTTGAAGTAAATGCTGAATTTTATCTGGCCAATTTTAACATAATAAATAAAGAATGAATATTGAATGATGTATTTTTAATGTTCCTCACAGGTAATCCTGATTCTCACCAAAATGTTCCATTCAGACATGGGGAAGGTTCTGGAAAGCTCGCTGTGGAGGTGAGTCATTGCTTTGTTTATGTTGTGTACATATGGTATTGAGAATGTATGAATTTCAGAGCCAGAAGGATTCCTTGCCAAAAAATGAAGGTAAGCTCAGGTGAGATGGGAGCTCAGTGTGACATCTGACTGTCTGTGTGTGAATTTTGATATCTGTGGCTTCCGAATGACTGCGTTAGTAATTCCACTGCTTACTGTAAAAGAGCTATAAGAGACTGGAAGGCTCCAGGTTCAATCCTCAGTTCGTGATGAATTAATTGAACTCAGCAGGGGGATGCAGCTCGACTTTACTTGTGATCTCAGTGGCTCGGTCTAACATGGGGTGGGGGTGGGGGAGCAGTCAGGGTTTCCACTCCAGATCATTATCTAATCAATATCCTTCTTGGAAATTGTGTCGATGGAATCATCGGGTGTGGTTAAGACACTGCTTTGATGCCTGACAACAGTGACTGCCTGAGGCCACATAGACAATACACTGTACCAGAGGGTGAATATGCCTGTATCTCTGGAAAAGCCTTCAGGATAGAAGGAGGAGGGGAGAAATGACTATGTGGATGCTGAATGTTTTGTTTTGCTGGATTTACTTTCTCAATCTACGGAATCCAAAATACTCCTATAAGGTCACCTCTGAGAATAATAATAATAAAAATCCTTGCATTTAATATAACACCTTATCATGTCTTCGAGATGTCTTAAAGCGCTTCACAGAATATATTGTAAAGTGAATTGACTGTATATTTTGGAAATGGTTTGTTAGCTTGACTGTGAGGTGAACATGGAATAAACAGGCTTGCAGGCTTATTCCTGGCTTTGGTGTGGTATGGAAGTTCCTGGGATGGTTTTACTCCAGTCTTCTTCAGATTCTGACTGACCATATCATGGTGTGGGGTCCAGGGCTGCTGTGGATAATTATCCCTGCATGTACGGAGCATTGAGATTCAGATTGATTAGCCTTAGGAGTAAATAACTGATCAGACAGGAAGGCGAGGTGTGCAAAACATTCATTATGTATACATTTTATACACTAATGTGTAACATATAATAAAACGTTTACATAAAGAAGACATGCTCTGAAAGCCCATTGAGGTTAGTCACTGGTGAACCGTACCTTTGAAATCCGTTTCCACCTTTTTGCTATTGAAATGGAACACTGGGACATAATGTAATAGTTTTGGGATTATGGCATTTTTCTGTCACAAAGCAGGAAATGTGAGCACTTAGTGATTTTACAGCAGGGCTATCGCAGAAAAGCCTCAATCCATGTCAGAAATGTAACATTTCTGAGAAGGTGATCATTTTGGAAGTCTACAACCAAGACAATTCTGGAATTTTATTTTTAAAGAACTCATTTTTATTATTGTATTATTTTAAGGAGCCCTGTTTTATTATTATTTTAGTGCGAACGGTTTGACTTGCTGTTTAGATACATTTCCCCCCTCAATTGTCCTAAGCAAGCAATATGTTGTTCAGTGCGATTGAAGAAGCATGAAACTCCAGAGATACCAAGTTGATTTTATTTACAACTCGTGCGCTGGTTTTCTTTCAAGCTGACATTAGGGTTCATTGTTCATCTTTTGGTTATATTGGGAACTGCCATGATAGACCACAGAAGATGGGTTTAGCTCAGGTGGTGGCACAATTATTTTGAAAATACACAATAATAGAACTTTTGAATCATAAAGCTGTGAGGCATAACCCCCATGAGACAAAACAGATCTTGGATTTAGAAAAAGGCTTACTGGGGGGATGAATGGCCGCTGTGAGATTGTGCTGGCTATGAATGCTCAGTAGTATTTAGACAAGGTACAGTGCTTTCAGGGCTGTTTGTGCAGAAAGCCACATCAGACAGTACTGCAGTCTGGTCCAGCTCAAATCGGCTGTGTTTTGCAAGCCATTTCTGTAATGTTTTGTTTGGTTGTCAGGCCACACAATGATTCATTCAAGTTGTTGTACCAAAAATGAGTGGAGGTGTTAAAGACTTGACACAAAGCTGTTAATGAATTGTTGCGGTGCAGGAAAGCTGATGTAATGTTGGATTTTTATTCTATTTGAAACATTCTTGTAATATCAGGAAATGGCTGCACACAAGCAACTTTGGGGCTTCCTTTTCTGGTTCCTGGATTTAACCTGCATTGGCAACATCTGGCAGCCAAGCAGGTCACCAAATTACAACCAGAGTCACATGGAGAAACAGGTCTGCAAAGAATGACGGAAGAAGGAAGGGTACATTTATGCCAACTACTCTGTGAGTCAGTCTGGCTCAGATAGTGGTACTCTCGCCTCTGAGTCAGAAGGTAGGGTGTTCAAACTCTGCATTGGGACTTTGAACTCACATAGTCCAAGCTGACATTCCAGTTCAATGCTGGGGTGCATTGCATGTTTGAAGGTGCTATCCTTCGGATGTAGGGTTGCTCCTGGCAGGTTGTAATCCTTGTTGGTTGCCTGTGAAACATTGGCCACCCTTTCCCCTTGGCACTACTGAGGCCAATGGTTTTAAGATGCACCTATGTGGTTTTTCTTTAGGCGTCTCAGGGGTGTCAACTCTATTCTGGTGAGAGTTTAACCAAAGTCTCATCTGCTTATACAGGTGGATATTAAAGATTCCATGGATTTGAAAAGAGAAGGGAGTTTCTCCTGGTTTTCATGCCAACATTTCCCCCCAAATAAAACTGGTCACTCATTTCATGGCTGTTTGTGGGACATTTTGGGGACAAATTGGCTGCCCGGTTTACCTACATGCACAGTCACTGCACTTTACATTAAAATCACATGAAGCGCTTTGAGATGTTTCACCGACGTGATAGGAGCTATTTCAAATGCAAGGATTATTGTTAAGATATGTACAAGTGGGTGGAATGTTGCCATGCTTTACAAACTGATTGTTCACTACTGAGTCAGATCTCCTCAGCACTCCTCAGTTATCCTGTCTGTAGGGCACAACATAAATATAAGTTGTTGTTGCTTTTATTGTTGTTTGCCAAGACAAGGGGAGATCCAACTCCTGTTTTGGCCATGGGCGATTTAGAGCCGAGACAACTCTTATTTTACAACAGGATTTTGAAACAGGCCTGGTTTTGAAGGCAAACACAGTATAAAAGCAATGTGTTTGGCCATCAGATTGGTTTAAGTTCCTAGTGCTATTATCCTCAACCACATCCTCAGGCTATCATCACAAATTCAACGAAGGTCCTATGAAATAAGAATTGCTTGGGAGCAGGTAGCTTTGTTTGACTCACACTGGCTGGGGAAATCTTAAAACCACACGCACGTTCTCCTGAACATCAAACCTTTGCAGAGGAATATATATATGTGGCACAAAAATCTAAAGTCTTACACATCGTAACTGAATGATAAATTTTAATGTAGAGTGTCATAATATATAATTGAAGAGGTAGCTGGAACTGTGCTGTGCATTCAGACCCACCGGTGGCTGAATCAGTGCTGTTGAAATTTATTTCACATTGGATCATCACAGCTAGCAGAGAGAGAAAGCTTCATCCCATCAGCCCTGGGATGGATTAGCACCCAGATGCTTGTTTTGAAAGGTCAGCACACTAACTAACCACATCAGCCAGTCACTGCTTTATTCGTTGAATAATTTGGTGCTGAATAAAACTGCTCATGTTTATTGAATGAGCTGTGACTTATGAAGAACTGTAACACTGAACAGACACAGGCCTAAGGTTTAAGGCAGCCTCTGTGCACGCAGTAATAGCATTTAGCTGTACTATAGCTCACTGGGGAGCAGTAATTGCCATGTAACCTGTCTGTGGGCACTGCAAAAGGTTTTTACTGTGCTTCCACCATTGGCCTCCAATGAGAGAACTCCTTAATACAGGAGAAATTCCACTTGGATTCAATGGCATTATATAAGAGTGAGGTTTTGTGGCATTCCATAATGCAATGGATGTGATCATTTTCATTTCGCAACTCCATTAATTTCACCTTGTGGTGTGAATTAAATGGATTTGCATGATTAAACCAGCACGTTTACACACTAAGAAGTGCCAGGTGTAGTTAAGGTGGATGAATTACTGGAGGGTTAGAATTTTTGGATCAACGTTATGATATTTCTTAACAGATTTGTCAATTAAGAAACGGATTTCTAAATAATGGAATCTGAGGCAGGAGCTTCATTCCAGTAACAAAGTAGTTCACAACGACTCGAGGGAAAACCAGGTTGAGTTGGAACAACAACAGATTGGGTTTATATAGCGCCTTTCATGTCAGGAGGACTTTGGCAAGGCAAAGTCAATCTTATGGACTCTTGAATTTCTTATTTAAGATATTTGTTCTGAAATACCACATAATTAACTTCGATTTCCTGTGCATGTGAAGTGCTGACATCTCAAAGCCCAGTTATTTCTTCCTTGGTATATTGTACCTCACATTTGGAAGTTGAGCATGTGCACTCTCTCACAGATCAGTACGCTCCCCTCCCACTCCGTCCCACAACAACAACAACAAGATTACATTTGTATAGCGCCTTTTACATCGGGAGGACGTCCCAAGGCGCTGGACCAAACCTTTATACTAGTCTCCCACGGGCTCGATCAAACTGGCTTTGATCCTGAGCAGTTCCATCTGGCCGTGACTGGAATTGCCGTATGTCAGAATCATTTATCACACATCCTGCAATCTGGAACTTTCGTTCTGGGTGAGATGCTGTTTTCAGATTCCTCAGGACACGTGGAGTTAGTTGTTCGGGGAAAGATCTTGAAGGCTTTTGCCAACTTCAGCATCTCAACCTGATAGTTTGAGAGAACAAGTGCTGGGCTTCTGTCCACAGATTTGTATGAAATGACAAATTACTTAGTCTTGACTGGGGAACTGTGGGCAAAACTGAGCTTGTTTTGTAAAACAATCATTTTATATATTTAACGGTGAATTGGTTAACCTTCAGTACGAGGCTGAAATTTAGTACTAGGCAGAACGTGGTACTATATATTTGTTCCAGCTGTTTTGTTTTGAGAGGAATTCTCTGACTCAAAGGCAGAGGT